TGAACATTCATTCAAAAGAAGTGATCAAGCAGTGACATTAGGTGCAAGGACTGCTGTGAAGATCGGCGATGAATCTGTTCATGTGGACCCACAGCTCTTTTTCTAGAGACTAGTCATTGTCAGTAGAGAACGTGAAGATACTTCAGCATCAGTTTTCAGCTACGAGTTATGCAGTCACCCCCGGCCCTGTTTGAATCCTCATATGTCTCTCCCTAGGGGCCGACAAACCAGTCCTAGCAGATGCACTTTGGAAGGTGTTTGAANCTAGCATATGCACTTTAGAAGGTGTTTGAACATGAGCTGACACGATAGCAGACACTACCCAGTGGTAATGTCCGTTATGTTTTGGATGGTGGTGCTCTACTTCACCGTTTTCCTTGGCCACGTGGGAGCACTTTCATCAACATATGTCAGCTATATGTCAATTATGTCAGCAGCAAATATGGAAGGCCAACAGTTGTTTTTGATGCTATCAAGGCGGTCCTCAATCAAGGACGCACCACATCTTAGACGATCAGGAGATTGTCAAGGCCTGACTGTCAACTTTGCAGAGGACATGGTAATCAAATCCAAGAAAGACGAATTTCTTGCAAATGAAGTTAACAAGCAACGCTTCATAAACCTACTCAGTTCCAAGCTCGAAATGCTCAGTTGCACTGTATTTCATGCAAGAGGAGATGGAGATTGACAGCAGTAGAAGCAGCTAGGTTTAAAGACATAGTTCTTGTCGCGAATGACACAGAACTTCTCATCTTGCTGATCTTCTACGCTGATCTGAATGCAAAGGACCTCCAGTGTGTCAGAAATGTTGGACCACCTAAAGCTGCGCCCTCTAGCAGATAGACGTAGAGATGCTCGTCTGACCATGCTTTATAACATTGTAAACCAGAAAGTCGCTATCGTAAAATCAGACAGATTAATCCCTACAGTTAGAAAATCCCGAACAAACCACCAGTTTTCGTATCAAATTCCCCACTCAAAAACCCAGACCAGAAAGGCATCATTCTTCCCTCGAACTATACCCGAGTGGAATAAACTCCCACCTGACATTATTGCGAGCCCCACAACGGAATTATTCAAATCAGCCCTCTACCGTCACTTTTCAAACGCAAATTAGACCATCTCGTATCTTTTAAAAACAATCTCTTTCCATGTTTCACTCCTCGTCTGACATTTTATCTTCAAATTGTTGAAGTTGGTCAGTACCATTTAGAAGTAGAAGTAGAAAGGATGTCTTTTTTGCACCTGAGCCCAAAGCAAAATCCAAGAAGAATCGAACATGGAATATCAAACAGCTGAAGGAACCTCTATGAAGTAGTGTGTGTGGCGACATTCTCTTTGTCCATGCGCTTCTGGGCTGCGACACAACGTCTCGCATATTTAGACTAGAGAAAGGCGTAGCACTGAAGAAATTCATGAAGATTGACGACTTCTGTGAGCTTGCCAAGGTGTGTAGTCAGCCAGCATCAGACCTGAAGGAGACCATTATTACAGCTGGAGAGAGGGCAAGTGTATGCCTGTATGGTGGTGACTAAACAGGGGATCTAGATTCTTTGAGGTACAGAAGATATTGCGTAAAGGTATCATCAATCTCGTCTGCCTTAGAAGCAAAGACTTTGCTACCAGCAAAGTTCCACAGTCTGCGTGTGTACTATCCGATATTAGAATGGAAAGGAACGGCAGACGACCTGACACCGGGAGACTGGGGTTGGCAGGTCACGGATGGGAAGTATCTTCCAATACAAACTGATAAACCACCAGCTTCAGCATCACTCCTTAAAGTCATCAGATGTGGATGCAAGAAAGACTGTGCAACCAAGAAAAGCACGTGCCGGAAGTATGGCCTACAATGTTCAACAGCCTGCACGGATTGTCGTGGCATTAGTTGCACCAAACTCACCACCACCAGACCTAGAACTTGATGCTCCAACTGTAATAACAACTGAACCGAGATTTTAAACCAATATAGACATATATTACAGTTGCTCTGGAATGCATTGTGGATATGTATGTGTTTATGCAAACTAAAGAACCTAATCATGATTTGTTTTTAAATTTAAAATATTTTACAACATGAATAAGTGTTGTTGCAATTATTCTGATATTACATAGGACAAGAATTATGATTATAATCAATTCTCCACACAACCAAATTCCTTAATTGGCAGCCATTTTGAATTTATGCAAATTAAGACACTCAACTAGGCACATGAAACCTTGTGCAAACAAAAGCATTCTTGAAAATAACATTTTATACATTCAAAGTACACTAAAAATATTCTAAAAGGTATGTAAGGTGAACATTTTGACTAAATCTAGGAGAAAACTGTAGAATTGGCAGCCATTTTGGATTTAAGTAAATTAGACACACTTCCATTACATGGATTTTTTCGGACTTTTAGTATGTCATTTTGGGGACCTTACTAAAATGTATTGCAGTGAATTTTTTTTTTTATTGCAATTTGTTTGACCTCAAAACACAATATTCCTAGCCTATTTCTCTATTTTTAGTTTGCTTGCATATAAATTGCTCTGCCATTTTTAGTGCTTGATTACTTTTATGTGTGCTTTCTCTATTTTTAGCTTGCTTGCATATAAATTACTCTGCCATTTTTAGTGCTTGCTTACTTTTATGTGTGCATTCTCTATTTTTAGTTTGCTTGCATGATTTTGTTTTTATGCTGTTGTAAAAGTATGCTTGTATGTATTCGGTTAAAAGCTCATTAGAGCTTATGTTTGTAGTTTGTAACTATACCGAATTAAAATAAAACTTTCATATATTCATATATGAGTACAAGGGGTGCTCAATGGTACGACGGGAGCTCAATGGTAAGGCGAGAGCACAATGGTACGACGAGAGCTCAATGGTACGACGGGAGCTCAATGATATGACAGGAGCTCAATGGTATGACGAGAGCATAATGTTACGACGAGAGCACAATGGTAAGACGAGAGCACAACAGTACGTGATTGAAGCATTTATTATAAAAAAGACTTGTAAAAATATATTGTAACGTGATGGAAGATATTGCAGTGAAAAACAAACCTTAAAACATTCTCTTAATTACAATATAGCATGATACAACAGTAGGTTAGTTACACCAAATTACCCCATAACAATTAAACAAATCTAACATAGCCATATCATTTTACAGGCTCTAGAACAGTAAAAATAACACAATGTCCTTATCAATTTTATAACTGTTAAAAAGTTACATCACATCCATCCTATCAACATTATTCTAAAAGTTCCACAACAGTAAAAGAATACCATATCCTTATGTATAATATTTTACAAGCTCCACAAGAGGGCAAAGTCTCATTTAATGAGATTTTCACACATATAGAAATATCAATTGCATAAAACATGAAAAACGTAAATAAATCTACTAAAAATTGATCAATATTTTAAGAACATGTGACGGACATAAGGCCCCCAAGCTCATGCAATACTTTACAGTCAAGTTCAAAATTCAGTTTTGTTTTTCGGTTTCATGATGTGTAATTTATAAATGTTCACCCACATCATACAAATATACATTTTTTTCGCTAAATTAGACGTTTTATTCTATCAATTCTGAATATTTGAACTAAATCTAAAAATGTTTCATATTCTGGGGTTCAATCAACAGATGATTTTTCTAGGATTGTATACTTCATACACAACAGCAATCATGGGTGACTATCCCAAAGTGTGATTAGGTAGAAATTATCTCATAAAATTTATCCGCACATTACATATTTTAAACCGTTTTTATTATCCTAACGTTTGATATCATATTACAAATCTATTTGACAATTAACATAACGATATAATCCACTTGATTCATGATCAACGGTTCGCCTGATATTTTCCAATATAACAAAGACAATCAAACACAGAAGGGCAACGTGGACATCGTATGACCATCCCAATGATATCTAGTTGCGAGTACGAGTGTAAGAGGTGGTTTATTTGGAGAAAATAATATAAATATATTTATATACCATTACCAGAAATAAATCCCATCTTTGACATAAAGGTACGGGTACTGAGGCTGGGTAAACATGTGACTTAGACTGCAGCAGAAAATACAAATATAGCATTATAACATGTCATACATTATATATATTTTTTTTTTAAATAGCGAGACAATTTGTAAGAAAGGTAATTTTAAAACTATATACAACTATGCACTGGTATATATACAATTTATACAAACTACATATCTGATCAAATACATCCACTAACTGATACATTCAATTCAATTAAACAAAATTCATACAGATATTCAATGTGATGTGATGATTAAATCAGAGCACCAAGACAAGTTGATGATCTCCCAATGGCCTTGATTGAAGATCCTAATCCTTTTTGATATTCTGGCACGTGGTTTTAAAACAATACCAAATTTACATCCTGAATGTATAAATAACTGGCAAGATGAACAAACATCAAGAATGATGAATGGTCGACTGTGGTATGTGAGACGAGTTAGTGACAGAGAAACATTGAACACTACAGGAGCGTTGCTTTATTAAGCTACAATAATGCTAAGCTAGCTAATGAAGTATGTGTTTGATATGTATATATACTGTATACAGCCTAACCATGCTCTAAGCTGTTCTCCACTCAGCTCACTCAGTCCCTTCTACACTGGTATCAGTACCAGTGCTGAATGGGGACATTTCAGTAAAGATTCCACCATGTACAAAACAGTGTTTAATGGCTTCTTCAGTGATTGTAATGATTTGAGCAAGCATCCACTAGTCTTCAGCCAAGTGTCACTCGATACATTTATAATGGACAAGTTTAGTGAATGCATGGAGCACTCATCAAAATTTCATTTCAATAATAGATAACCATAAATTTTGACAAGCAATTGCTATTACATTATTTTTTTTGTATGTATTGTACATATGAAAATTACACATACCACATCAATGTCTAAATTAGCTGTTTCAGATATAAGTCAGTAGTTAGAACTAGATTTCAAATTCTCAGAAAAATATCACTATATTTATATGGGCGTCACCATTTTAAAAGAAGGGTTAAATCTAGTAAAAAAAAAACATAATCACAGAGTGAGTTCACGGTATACAAATTAGTGAACCTGAGGCAGTTGGAGAGAATGATCCAACACTTGTTAATATTAGAGTGTCCCTCGATACAACTATTAGATAACAAAGTATCAGTAACATAGTACACAAATCTATATTACAACTAGCACTTTCTGTCATCTGCTCCACACCTTAGAATAAAGTTACAGTAACATTAAGTATGCTGTCTGAGCATTTCAAATGTAAACACCTACTGAGACACTCATAATTGGATCAATCTGGCTTTCAGGTGACAGAATTACAAACTTCCTACTGAAAAGACTGGACTTTCCCCCAACAGTTTACAAGACCCCTAATAGGTCGGACCCCTCCCATCATAGGCTACAGACTCCTCTCCAGTATGTGACAGACATCTAACAAAATAGGTAACAAGACTACTCCCTAATAAATCACAGCCCTCCCCCAATAGGTCACAAGACTCCTCCCTAATAAATCACAGCCCTCCCCCAATAGGTCACAGGTCTCCTCCCCAGCCACCCCCAGCTTCTTTTTATTCACAGACAAGACCCCCTCTCCCTCAAGCCAAAAATTGTCACAGAACTATATCCAGTGCTGTTCAAGCACAAGATGTATTGCACACTGTCGGTTCCTAAAAATTCCAATAAAACCCAAATCACCCTCTATAAGAAATGAGTACAGTCTATAAGTAAGACATATATAGCTTGACATCATTCTGCATACAGCCCTTTATGAGGATTGCTTAGGTGGTAAGCAAAGTCTCAGACAATGGTGTAGTGCACCAACTATGATTTAACATCAAAACATATCGGAGTAGTAAGTTAACATACAGTGCGAGTATTTCATTCATTTCATTCAGTACTAAACAGAAATATCTCAATAAGATATATAATTTTCATTGGAAATGTATCATTTCTGGTATTTTGATGAGAGAGAATGTCAAACTGAATGCAGTTTTACCAGGACTGTTATACCTAAAGCTATAGACTCCATACACCAGTCCTACAGCTCCTTCACTACAGCGGTGTCCAGTCTGTATCGGGGTAGCCAGGGTACAAACCATTGAAAAACATGGCGAAAGACACAAACAACAGGTATATAGCTAAGGTAACCCAGCCTAAGGTCTTCTCCCACGGCAATTCTTTGATGTTTCGCAGGATTGGGATTCCCAGAAGAAGACCTGAAATTAAACATTTCAAACTATAAAATGTCTATCATATTTATGTTACCTAAAAACTGTGAGACAGCAAATTGAGAATTTGTCCACAAAATATTACATAAAAAATTACTTATTATACAATATTAATGTACTGTAATATTCCGTAACAAATTCTTTAAAGTGTGTAGAATGATATTTTTTCAAGTAATTTCAGAACAACAAAATGCTTTTTTAAAAAACATATGTACAAGGTATGTTATGCAAATACACCAATCCAGATTAAGAAGTTCAGATTGCTCAATGGACAAGAATTGTTGAGGTGATAATTTTGTGAGCTACAGGAATTTCAATCACAATGACTACAAACCTGCCAACAGTCCCCCGATATGTGCCGAAATTCCAATCTTCGTTGTAGCATTGGCATCAAAAAACCTTCTATACACTGCATTGCCTGTATCTAGGATGGCTATTAAAAAGAAACTTGTATTAGTAAACTGTATTTATGTAAGTATATGTGTCTATAAGTCAAACAACTTCGTGAAGATGGCCCAGGGACTTTCTTAAAATTTTGATACTTAACCATTCTTTCCCGAAACCTCCTAGATGCCACTTTGGTTTGACAATAGTAATGAGAGTGGTTGATGGATGACAAGAGTAAAGTACAATGGTTATAACACCTCAGATCTCCAAAGTACTGCAATGATGGTAGCACCTGTGTGATCAAGGGGAGATCATTTCCTTCTACTAAATAAAACTGTCTGCCATACATGTACCCTATAACTGAGCTATTCAAAGCCTTGTAATGTATAACAACAAAGTCACTGTTCACAATAACTACCAGTAACATGTCACTGTTCACAATAACTACCAGTAACATGTCACTTTTGATATTTCGAAAGAAAATTTCTACTTTCATCACTTTGTGAATCTGATGTTTTAAGTATTATGTCAAGTTATGATAGCATACCAAACCCTCACTTAAACTCAATTTCTCTGTGTATGAAGAACAGAATCTGTATTATTTATGAAACATTTGATGTTAATAGCAACACAAGTTGAATCTTTTGTCTTTACATTTAACTCAAAGAGAAAAAGAAAGGACGGATGGAAAACAGATTCAATTCTGACAAATCTAATGTCCAAGAGCTGTCAGACGTAAATATGTATTAGAAACAATCATGATAGCACATTTAAAACTAGCTTTTATATCTTCCTTTTTATAATGTATAAGATACTTTTCAAAAATTCTGTTTAAAAAAGTAAAACTGCTGCTAAAAATTGAATCACATTCAGTTCAAAACTTATTCATTCAAATTTTTTACCTTGCATTAAAAACATATTTATACCAATGGAATTTTTCTCTTGACTTTTTTCTAGATTTTTCTTTCATCTTTAGGATATTTTCATTAGTTTATCTCTACTCTTGTTTTTTTATTTTAATTGTTTTTTTTTCTCTTGATATGTGTCACACAGTAGAACTGTTATTATGTTTGAGGCTTTGTATCGTCGGAAATGTAAATGTACTTGGTGTGTATGTGGTGAGTATACGTACAGAATGTGAGGAGCAACGTCAGTCTGACCGGGGCACTGAGGAGGAACCGGCAGATACTGCCCTCAAAACACTTATAGTTCATCTCCTTCCAGTTCTGAAATGTAAAACAGGAATCAAGAATAGGCTTTATAAGGATTAAATAGGCTACAGAGTATAATGAAGCTTAAGAATTCACTGATACCATATTGGTTGATTACAAATGACTAGAGAGACATGAATTCACAGATAACAAGTAAGAAACTGATAAAAGCAACAATATATTTACTTTTTCTTTATTATAAAAGCAACAATATATTTACTTTTTCTTGATTATAAAAGCAACAATAAATTTACTTTTTCTTTATTAAAAGCAACAATATATTTACTTTTTCTTTATTAAAAGCAACAATACATCTTACTATCACATTACTTACTTTGGCTGATACTAAAAAAATGCCAAACTATGTTTTTTTTTAATTTTTTAGCAAGATATAGTAATACGGAATATACAAAATGGACAGTGTTACCTCGGGAACTTACCACAATCACAGAAGCTATGTGAGCACCAATCAGAGCATAGCAGCCTCCACTAGCTCCCGCCAACGCAACATCGTGATCCGTCACAGAGTGGGCTAGGGATCCTGTAGATAACAAAGTTACTTATCAAATATGCTAAAATTTAACCCACTAAAATTAGAAATTCTCAAAACACTTCATATTATAGACCATATATATAATTATGTGTGACAACAATAAAAAAAAATCGTGTCCTCAGTCAGCTCCACACATTTGTTCTCATAATACATCAGTGGTATAAATGTATGATCTTGAAAAGTGAATTATTCAATAACCTTTGTTTTCAGCAACAGTAATGTTTACAACTCACCAGCTATGACACCCAGAACAGTAATGTTTACAACTCACCAGCTATTACACCAAGAACAGTAATGATTACAACTCCCCAGCTATGACACCCAGAACAGTAATGTTTACAACTCACCAGCTATTACACCCAGAACAGTAATGNTCACCAGCTATGACACCCAGAACAGTAATGTTTACAACTCACCAGCTATGACACCCAGAACAGTAATGTTTACAACTCACCAGCTATGACACCAAGAACAGTAATGATTACAACTCACCAGCTATGACACCCAGAACAGTAATGTTTACAACTCACCAGCTAAAACACCCAGAACAGTAATGTTTACAACTCACCAGCTATGACACCCAGAACATAAATGACAAGAATCCTCCAGAACTTGTTGACCATTTCCAGAGGCAGACCGAGCAGAAGTTGGAAAACGAGGTTGGAGACGATGTGGAGGTACCTAAAACAGACAGCAATTGTCACATACCTGAGCTCATGCTTAATCTGTTCTCTGACTTAACTAGTGCAAGTGTCATTTTTGCGAGACATATTGTTTATCTTTCACTCAAACATCTTAATATTTGTTTATACAAGTAAAACAGAGAAAGACCATTTTCCTACTATCCGTAGTAAACACTTCCATGATATTTCATTATTCTCATTCATTACTGTGATTTTGATATTAAAAACAATGACATTTAGAAATGTTAAATTTCCCATTTGCTTGAAAGGGGAACATGAAATAGCATAAATTTAATTCACGCTGAATTTTGCATGAGTTAACATTAACAGGAGTCAAGTAGGGACAGCATATTTCATGACTTTCCATTAGACTAGTACATGATTATAGACTAGTACATGATTGTAGACTTTAACATGATTGTAGACTATTACATGATTGTAGACTAGTACATGATTGTAGACTAGTACGTATACATGATTATAGACTAGTACATGATTGTAGACTTACATGATTGTAGATTAGTATGTATACATGATTGTAGACTTACATGATTGTAGATTAGTATGTATACATGATTGTAGACTTACATGATTGTAGACTAGTACATGATTGTAGACTAGTATGTATACATGATTGTAGAGTAGTACATGATTGTAGAGTAGTACATGATTGTAGACTAGTACATGATTGTAGACTATATACTAGTACATGATTGTAGACTATATACTAGTACATGATTGTAGACTATACTATTACATGATTGTAGACTATTACATGATTGTAGACTAGTACATGATTGTAGACTATATACTAGTACATGATTGTAGACTA